AATGGGAAGTAATTAATTTTCCTGGCCTAAGAACAAAGAGAATTCTTGTTGGGAATCGAGAATTATCGAGGAAACCAAACTACGTCAGGCCCCACCCCGGGTTTTGGTCAGTATCCATATAAACGAATGTCTCCAGGCAGTTTCAGTTGGAGTTCAGTTTCGGACAGAGTCAGAGTGTTGCCTCACAGAAGCTGACTGAGAGATTCCATGTCCTTTCGACTTCGCCTTCTTACCAAAAGCAAGTTATATTGACGATGATTTAAGATACCAAAACTTGCTTAAGAAACGCAAAAGTGTCACACTCTGTAGAAAACAGGCTGGGAGAGAAACACACTCCTGTATATATCAGACAGATAAAGATAATTTGTTATTTCTCAACATATTTGAACCTCTTGAGTTTTGTTTTATTGCTTCTTTTACTTATGCTTGTGCGATATCACCTTCACCCAGGATTCAGCTTGCACTACCGCCTGACACCTGATTGATTTCATCTACCTAAGATCAAAGTCACAACGTGGGTAGGTTAGACTTGAGATCAAAGTAGTTACTTTGGTAATTAGACATTGGAAGTGAGCTGAGAACGACAAAGCTGGTATCCAACCAGGAATGACCAGATCAACTGGGACACAGGCTGGTGGCAGCAACAAGGAGTCAACCCCAAACACTGGTGGAAGAAAACTTACAGCTTCGCATCGCAACTGGGAGTTGACCACGGGCCAACAGCGCAGTGTCACATATTGGCATCATGACCAGAGGACGTCACATATTGGCACTGCGACCACTAGAGGGTGTCACAGTAATGTTTAAAAGTAAAACTTCTTTTACTTAAAAAAAATCTAAATTCCCCTCCAAAATAAATAGTAAATAATTATTTTTCAAAGAAGTAAGGCATACTATAGTTTTTGCATGAAAAAATGATTAAATTAAATGTTTAAATATATCTTAATTTAAGTTTATTTACTTTTTTTATTAATAATAATTTGAAAAAGATTAATGAACTTTTATCTAAGTTTGATTTGTTTGAAAACAACATTAACAGATTATTTATGTTAGTATTTAAATTGAAAAATAATGTGTCCTTTTGAATAAAAATATGGGGATGCTCATCACCCCCTAAGACCCCTCCCCCAAGTGTGGTATTGGTAGTGTGGTATTTTCCTAAATTTAGTTATTTTGTAACAAACCAAAAAAAAACAATGAAGTTTATTGTTTAAAGATTAAATAAAAAAATTTTTTCCCTAAGATGGCTGAAAAATATCAATAAATTGTCAATAATAAACTATTATTCAGGGATTTTCCGAGCAATGCTGGGTATTCCTGCTAGTATATATATATATA